AGTTGTAGAATTTCCACTCAGCCAGCCCTCCTGTGGCTCTGGACGTTGTCCTTTCCCTGGATCAAGCTTAATTTGAATTGGTTGTTCAAGGCAGCAATCTCTGGTGTTAACCTATGCCGCCATCTTCGGTTCTCCCCCTCTTTTATTTTTCAAGTTTGCTTAAGGAGAGCAGGCAATCGCTTGGAGCGCTGGTGCAACTGCTTGACAACCTTGTCAGGTCATTCACGCCTGTGTCTGACTTGTGCTGAGGTGTTCTTGGCGCTCGGCCGAGTGATTTTTGGACTGTACCCCGGGCATTTTGAGTACAAGGTTAGGAGACTGACTCTCTTCACATTCCTATTTTAGTCGGTGGTCCACCCACTCACGTTATGAGCGCCTGGCCTGGCCCGTGTGTGTGGGCCGTGTTCTAAGTGTCAGTTCCTTTGCACAGCCCCTGCTCTGGGGGCTCCCTGGAGGCCAAGGTCACCCCTGGGCCTAGTCCACCCATTGCAGTGTTTGCTGTGTGATCCCGGTCAGTTTTGTAAATGGATGTGTCGGGAACGTGGGACAGACAAAAGTAACCCCATTCTGCTCCGGACCGAATTGTGCTCCCCTCCTCCCACCCAAATCCACGTGATGAAGCCTAACCCTCATGTGCTGGTACTTGGAGCTGCAGCCTTTGGGAGGGGGTTGGGTTTAGCTGAGGTCATGGGGGCGGGGCTCATGCTGGGATTCAGGCCTCTGTAAGAAGAGTCAGACACACCCCCACCCCTGCCCCTGCCCCGTGAGGACCCTGAGCAGCCCGTCTACAAGACAAGAAACTGAGCACCTGGCATTTGACCCTGGACTCCTAGCCTCCAGGACTGAGAGGGAGCTGCACTCACACTCTCTCCCCTTCCTCCCCTCTGAGCGAAGCCTCTTGCTCTCAGGCGACCTCTGGGAGTCCCGGCGGGCCTTCCCACCTGTCCCAAAACCACGGCCACTGTGGCGTGCCCCTGGCCCACAGCCTGTGTCCCTGTGACCTCGAGAAGGGCCGTGCATGCTGATTACTGCAGATCCAGCTCCTGCTGCCCCTTCTCACTGCAGCTTTACCCAATGTCTTCCCTCCAAGCCCCAGGCCCCAGGAGCCTGACTGTCACCTCCCCTGGACCATGATTACCTGGGCTTAACCAGCCTGTGCCTAACGCACCCCCGCCAGGCCAGGGCACCCATACCTGCTAGCTCCAGCCCCTCACAATGGCTTCGACTTTTCTGCCCGCGCTTCTGTGTTCTGGTTACATGACCCAGGGCCTGGCTTCCAGGAACCAGTACTTCCTGCCTAACTCCCCCGCGTTCGCTTCCTGCAGCAGCGCCTTGCAGTCCACCAGGCTGCCTTCACCTTGGCTTCCGGTGCCTCCTGGCCTGTGAGCCCTTCCCTCTTCTCCCTCTGTTAAGTCCTCTCGGCCTCCTCCAGCAACAAAAATCCCTCTTCCATCAGAACGGCCTCCCATGAACCCAACTGGAATTCATGGCTCATTAGTTAAACTGAATCCCAGATGTGAGAGAGCATAGCAGGTGGGAGAGCTCCAGGCCCCGTGCCCTGTTCTGAGACGTGTGGGACCTGGGCAGATGCTCCCCCAAGGCTTCTGGCCTCTGGGTGGTGCCAGGGCCCCATAGAGACCCCTGGCTCCCTGGGGATGTGAATGGAAACGCTTCATGGCATGTGGGGGCGTTTGAGGCTGGAACGCCACACTTGCTGCTGTCAGAATCGCCCGCCCCACCCTGTGTCTCGGGCACGTAGCCTGCGTATGGGAGGTGTGGCCTACGACTGTCCTGTACTTCACCACATATGTCTCTCTGCTTCGGTTGGAAACTTGCCCAGGCCCAGTGCCCGTTTGGACTTTAAGAATCTGTAACCCTGCCCAGCTGGTGTGGCTCAGTGGTTGAGCATCAAACTATGAACCAGGAGGTCCCGGTTGGATTCCCAGTCAGAGCACAGGCCAGGGTTGTGGCTCGATCCCCGGTGTAGAGGGTGCAGGAGGCAGCCGATCAGTGACTCTCTCTCATCATTGATGTTTTTATCTCTCCCTCTCCCTCTCCCTGCCTCTCTGAATTCAATAAAAAAATATTTTAAAAAAGAATCAGCAACCCCGTAATGGGGGCCTGAGGGATGTCTGGGGAGAGGTGGTGACATTTCAAAGTTCAGAACCTGTGTGGCAAACACTTTGTTGGGGCGGCCAGATATACGTCAGTGGAGCTGACAGGGAGCCAACCAGTGCAAGCATGTGGGGCTTTTAAATAAGCGACAAGACGAAGAGCACCCACACTGGTGATGGCCAGGCAGCCGGGTTTTGTTAAAATTGCTCCGATCCTCCCTGACCGGTTTGGCTCAGTGGATAGAGCGCCGGCCTGTGGACTGAAAGGTCTTAGGTTCGATTCCGGTCAAGAGCATGTATGTACCTTGGTTGCGGGCACATCCCCAGAAGAGGGTATGCAGGAGGCAGCTGATCAATATTTCTCTCCCATCGATGTTTCTGACTCTCTATCCCTCTCCCTTCCTCTCTGTAAAAAAAATCAATAAAATATGTTAAAAATGAAAATAAAATTGCTCCGATCTTATTGATTGGGTCTAGGTGATCATGTTTTTTCCTCCCTGATAATCATGTTTTTGAATAAACCCAAATTAATTTCATATGAAGAAAAAATAGCATTAGATAATTTTATTTGCGAACCTTATTTTCACGACTATTTACAATATTTTAATTCCTGCAGATGCATTTTTCTTCTCAGAAGAAGACAAGAGAAAGGGTTACATGAAACTGCGTCCTACGAGGACAATGGGGAGCAGAACTACTGGGCAATGTTTCAAGTTTGGCTGTGAAGATCATCCCTCTAGCGTGCTTAGAACTGAAAATATTTGGATTTCAAAACTAGACGATAATTCCATGGCAATGAAGATGCCACATGAGCTTTGGTATCTAATAATCTCATCGGTGAGACCTGCAGAGAGGCCTGGCATGGCTGACGGCTCAATTGAGCACTGGGAAGGGTCTGCTGCAGACCCCCAGGTTCGGGGTGACAGTGGGTGCGACCTGGCGGGCACAGCGAAGGGATCAGCCACGGGCACGGCTCTCCCAGCAGAGCGGCCTCAGTGCTCCGTGTCCTCTTGCGTCAAGGAAGCCAGAAGCTCTTGGCCAACGTCTGCCTGCTTTTCGGTCTCATCTGGATGGTTCCTCAGCCTCAGCTTGGTCTCCAGTCTCTGCTTCCATTCTTCTCTGAGCCTGAACATAGGACAGAACACACAGGGGACGCTCATCTCCTGGGCTGTTGGTTCGGGAAAAGCTTTCTTCCTTTTCCCCCCGACCGTGTGTGTGTGTGTGTGTGTGTGTGTGTGTGTGTGTGCATGTGCGTGTGTGTGTGTGTGTCAGGTTGTAAAAGGCATTCAGAGGACTTGCAAATTTAAATATGAACATGTTTTAACTCTCACTTCTGTTCAACGTACCCGAATCTCAATCCTCTGAACTTTCCTTTGAAAGTACAATATCTTTAAAGTATTGGGGGCGGGGGAGCGGGGACCCTGTCAATCTAGAATTGTTTACCCAGCAAGGCTGGCATCCACATACAGAGGCTTTAAGTTGTGCAGAAACAGAGATTCCTTCCTGGCAGACTGCCACGGCACATGCTAACGGCCTTTCCGTCAAGCAGAAGGAAGTCGGGGTCACGATGGAATAAAAGCACCTGAAAAGGCAGCTGTGTGGATGCATATTCATAACTTTTTCTTACTATTTGAACACCTTTAAAAGATAATCAGTGGTTGAAAGCAACACTGTTCATTATGTGACATGGGGCTTATAACACATGGAAGTAAAAATGTACTTGTGTACAATAGCTCGACAGCCAGGAGGGGGAAATGGCACCATCTCGCTGTAAGGCTTTTACACGCTCAAGGAGATGATGCACCCTTGAAGGTGTGTGGTAAGTTCAGGGTGGATATGTAAATCCTAAAGCAACTACCAAAATAACACAATTACAATCCAATTACCTGGGATAAAAAAGCAGTATCCAAACACATGCTCCCCAAATTTCGTGTAACCCTCATACACTAGAACCAGTGACAGAGAGAAAAGATAAGACAGAGTATACATTTGGGGTTTTTTTTTGTTTGTTTCTTAAATATATTTTTATTGATTTTTTACAGAGAGGAAGGGAGAGGGACAGAGAGTTAGAAACATCGATAAGAGAGAAACATCAATCAGCTGCCTCCTGCACACTCCCCACTGGGGATGTGCCCACAACCAAGGTACATGCCCCTGACTGGAATTGAACCTGGGACCCTTCAGTCTGTAGGCCGACGCTCAGTTCACTGAGCCAAACCGGTTAGGGCTACATTTGTTAATGTATAAGAATTGTAAAACCATAGGTGGTGGCAGCAACATATGCATGGAAAATTAAAATAATTTCATCCTCTGAGATGCCCTTCTGGCATTCTTCTGGGAAAGTCAATTTTGCATAAAGGAATAGACACACAAGGATGCTAATGCTGTGTCAATGTGTGTTGTTGTTGTAGGCTTCTGACAGTGGGGAGGTTGTGCCTGGCGGGAGGGGTACGTGGGAACTCTACTTTCTGCTCATTTTGCTGTGAATTTGCTCTAAAAAATAGTCTATTTTTAAAAAACACATACTTTCTCAGTGCACTTCTCCCCAGGCGCCGCTCCTCCGATTCTCGGTAGAAGGTCTGTTTGCCGATTTCCCTTTCCCAGAAGTGTTTGAGCTCGTGACAGGTGTTCCGGCAGAAGACCTCCCGGCGGACGTACTGATTGTTCATCCCCTGGAAGAGAAAAGATCAGCCGAACCCTCGTAGAACAGAACACGCTCCCTGGGCCTCTCGAGGTGCTGACATCGTTACCCGAGGGAGACCCCGGCCAGTACAGACCCTCAGCATCAGGAATAACAGCCGTCACAGGTGTGAAAGCAGGAGCTCCCCGCGGGCCTGGCAGGTCCGGGCACCTGGCTCATCCCTCTGCCCCTCCTCCTCCTCACAGAAGCATGGCTTCTCAGCTCTTCACGGACAGCAGTGTGCAGGCGTGTGTGCATCTACTCACAGCACCCTGAGTGGACACCGTCCCGTTTCTAGGGGCGTCTGAAGGTCACAGCGCTTGCGTGGGTCCCGCAGCATCGCCGGCGGGAGGTAGACTGCAGACGTGGGAATGTGCTCTAGCCCTTTACTCAGGGTCTGCCCAGAAAACAGTCCCAGCGCCAGACGCAGCCGAGCAAGCACTTTGGGGTGCGTGCATGTGCGTGTGTGGAATGGCTCATGTCAGACACTCAGAGCGCTCAGTTCTCCATGAAGAAACTGCCCAACACCCAGACCTGGGGGGCGAGGGAAAGGGTTAGAGGCTACTGTCCAGGGAGAGGCAGTGCCCAGCTGGGGGCGACGACGATAAGGCACAGTGGACGGGTTCACAATATTCTGGGGGTGTCAACTCAGGTGGTGAGTGAAGTTGACGGCATCAGGGGAGCCTTCAGCGGCTGTGCCTGTGCACAGAAGGGAAGCACCAGAGCAGGCCCGTGGGGAGCAGGCCCATGGGGAGAGAGTGGCTCGACCAGGACCGGACAGGTTGAGGTGCCTGGTGCTGATCCCAGGGCAAGGCTTCGGAAAGGGCACGTAGGCACTGAGGCCGGAGCTCAGCGTGAAGGTCTGGACACAGCTCTCTCTCAGACACTGGGCTGTGGGGCGGGTAGAAGGGGAGGGGCTTGAAGCCAGATGTTTACTCCAGACCCGTTTGTGCGTTGATCTGACGTGCCTTCTGCTGGTGAATCAATTCTCCGGGCCTCTGCACTGAAAAAATGTCTTTGAAGATCAAATTTGACCATGAAGGTGACTTCAGGTTTAACAGGGAGTGAGCTGGACACACACTCGTCACAGGCACCGGGATTTCCTGTGACAGGAGCTGGGGTGGTAGTGGGGGCCAAGGAGAGTCCCCTGACATGGTCTGAGGGGAAGGGACATGTCGATGAGTGGGTGGGAGCACCGGGTGCGGGAGCAGACTGTGCCAAGGCCTGCGGGATGGTCTGTGGAAGCAGAGACCCTGAAGCAGATGGGGGCGCCCTGGGGTGGGGGAGGGGACTCCAGGTTATGACTTGTTTCTGGGGATGGTTACACGGCGGCACGCAATTGCCAAAACTTATCCACGGGCAGACTTTGTGACACACGAGCTCCGCCTCAGGAACAGGAGACATGCTTCTGTTTGGACCAGAGAGTCATCGAAGCTCCCGGCCCTGAGCTCCTGGGCGACCGTCGGGACCTGACGGTGAGGGTCCCTCAGCCCGTCCTTCACGTGTTCTGTGAGCACGCGTTTCGGTTTCCTGGGTTCTGAAACGAGGGCACGGCTCCACCTGGCCGACACGTGAGGGGCAACAGCAATGGTTGGCGAGCCCTCGGGAAGCGCGGGGGTCGTCCTTGAGAAACACATGCTCTGCTCCTGTCTCCTCGGCCAGGAACCCGCCACCTGATCCCATGTCCACGAGAACTGGCGCTGCTTCCCGCCGCCAGCACCCGCTCCGGAGGCCGTGGCTACGAGGACCAGCGTGAACTGCACAAAACAGCTTTGCCTACAGAGACCAGCAGCACGTGACGCCTGCCCCTCGGTCCAGCTGAACAGGGCGTTGAGCTGGTGCCATCTCGGAGGCATCGGGCAGCACGAGGGCCCCCAGCGTTCAGTGAACCCGCTGCTGCAGAGGCCCAGGGTTAGGTGGGTCCTCGCGCTCGCTGTACCAGCTGCTTAGTTTCCAAGTCCGGGGTTACTTCGAGTGTGAAACCCAAATGAGGAATGAGAAGGCGGTGTTTTTTAATCCGCACCCGACGACATTCTCCCCATTGAACTTTTTATTTTTTTAGAGAGTGGAAGGGAGGAAGGGGAGGGGGAGAGAGAAACCTCCATGTGAGACAGGCGTCGGCATTGGTGGCCTCTTGCTTGTGCCCACCGGGTCTGGGAATTGAACCTGCAGCGGCGGTATATGCTCCTGACTGGGAATAGAGCCTGTGACCTTCAATCTGAGGGTCAACACTAACCACTGAGCAACCGTCCAGGGCAAAAGGTGTTTGTTTTTAAAGAATTTTGGTTTATACAGCTCACTCTTGAGACGTGGCTAGAGCTGTTCGTTCTGTCAGCTGGCCGTGCATGCCGCCATATTTCTTGTCTACCCGACACCTTTTAAGAGCAACTACTCTGTATTTTTCAGAACATTTTTAAAGGCTTCATACTGATTACAGCTTGAAGTAGAACTGGAGTTCCAGATAAACAGGACGGGCCACCCTGTCTCAGCCCAGGGTGTAGTGGACTGTGGACCCAGAAAGCAGGTCACTGAAGGTCAGAATTCCAATGACTGCTGAATGGAGCTAATTTTTTTTTTTTTTTGAGAGAAACATCAATGTGAACGAGAAATTTCGATCGGTTGCCTCCCATCTGTGCTGTGACCAGGAAATCGAACCCACTACCTTTTGATGTGCAGGACGATGTTCCAACCAACTGAGCCACCCGCCAGAGACACATTTCCTGGTTTTACTCTGGTCTCTCCAGTTTAGACTCAAGGCAACCCACAAGCGGGGACGTGGCTGAAGAGAGCACCAAGAAGTCCTCTGAGTCTAGAGAGGAGACTCCAGTGCTCAGGGATGAGGGAAATCACTTGTTTTTCTTTTCTCCAGTCTCTCAGGTCCCAGGAAATTCCAAGGTGAGGAAGGCTTGGCAGCAACAATGGAAGTGAAGGATCAGCAGGGCCTGCAGACAACATCCTGGGCAGCAGAACTTGTCCCAGCAGGAGAAGCTGTGGTCTCACCCTCCTACCTCCTCCCTCTCAGTCCTCTGGGCGTTTGACCCCAGACATGAGGGCAGCCACGGGAAGTGCAGGGCAGAACAGGTAACTACAGCCCAGGTTTCTGGCCAAAGGGATGAAAACGGGGAGTCCGGGGAATTGGAAATCACTGGGGAGACCACAGATGTGGGCGGACCTCAGGAGTGACGCCTTAAAAATTGCCGCTGAGTGCTGGCTGGCCTGGGGGCTGCACAGGTTGGTTCTGACTCTGAACAGTGACAGTGTAGAGAGAAAATCATAGCAGATGGAGGAAACCTGACCACGTCCTCAGCCCAGTAGCCTGAAGGGTAATCATGGATCTCTCCACCCAACGGCAGAATACAGGTCCCTTCCAAGTGCACGTGAAGCAAACCTCAAAGGAATTCCTCAAACTAAGAGAGTTTAGCAAAGATGCAGGATATGAGATCAATACACAGAATTAATATTTGCCAGTGAGCAACTGGAAACTGACATTGAAAACACACCACTAGCACCCGGCAGTGTGGCCCAGTGGTTGAGTGTCGCGCTGTGAACCACAAAGTCACGGTTCAGTTCCCAGCAGGGCACATGCCTGGGTGGCAGGCTCGATCCCCAGTGGGGGGCATGCAGGAGCCAGCAGATCAATGATTCTCTCTCATCATTGATGTTTCTATCTCTCTCTCCCTCTCCCTTTCTCTCTGAAATCAATAAATATATACGTATGTATATAAAACCCACTACCATCTACAATAACTCCTCAAGTGAAATACTTAGCTATAAATCTAACAAAACATGTATAAAATATCCTAAAAACTAGGGATTGAGAGGCAAGCTGATTCTCAACAAATAGTGTTGTGACAACAGGATACCAATATGCAAAAAATAAAAATAAAAGAACCTGACATAACTCTCACCTTACACAAAAGTGAACTGAAAATGGATCTAATATAAACTGTAAAACTTTTAGGAGAACACATAGGAGAAATTTTTTTGTGGTTTGGGGGTTAGAGTTCTTAGAAATGACAGTAAAAAGCACATTCATGAAAACAATTTAATAAATTGGGCTTCATCAAAATGAAGTCTTTGCAAATGACACTGTTAAGGGAATGAAAGACAAGATACAAGCAAACAAAAAATATTTGCCAATAACATATGACAAAGGACTTGTCTCCAGAATCTGTAAAGAACTCTCAAAACTCAACAATATGAAAGCAAAACCCAATGAAATGCGGGCAAAGCACTTCAATAGACACTTCGTCCAAGAGGACACACAGATGTCAAACAGCATGAAGAAATGTGCATCATAGTCACCAGGGAAACACCAATTTAAACCATGTAGAGACACCACTCCGCCCTGTGAGAAGGGCCAAGATAAAAATAGGGGCGTCAGGTGGTAGGATGGAGAGCAGCTGGTAGACCCTGGGAATGCGACATGGACAGGTATTATTCCAGAAAACAGTGGGGTGGCTCCTCACAAGTTAAACGTATACCCACCCTATGACCCAGCCATCTAGGTATGTCGCCTAGAGCAGTGGCCGGCAAACTGTGGCTTGAGAGCAACATGCGGCTCTTTGTTCCCTTGAGTGTGGCTCTTCCACAAAATACCACGTGCGGGCGCACACGTACAGTGCGATCCAAACTTCGTGGCCCATTGCGCAGAAGTTGGTTTTCGACCTGGGCGAGTCTATTTCGAAGAAGCACTGTTGATATTTGGCTCTGTTGACTAATGAGTTTGCCGACCACTGGCCCAGAGAAGTGCAAAAACCTCTGCACCTGTACACGGTTCTGTTTGTAATTGCCAATAAGTAGAAACAACCTGATCGTTCTTCAGTGAGGGGAAGGGTGAAAAACACCTGTCAAACATCCAGACAATGGAATACTGTGCAGCAATAAGAAAGAACAAACTCCTGACACAGTCAATAACTTGGATGAACCCAGAAGTTATACAGAGGGGAAGCAGCAATTGGAAACTAAAATGAAATAGATTATATGTTATCTGTGACTCCATTT